GAGAGAGAGAGAGAGAGAGAGAGAGAGAGAGAGAGAGAGAGAGTGTGGACTCACCCTAAGCATCTGGATGTCAATGACCTTATCCATGTACTTCTTCTTGTCATACTTGTCCCTGATGAAGATCTCTGCAGACTGGTCCGTCTCGGGGTGCTGAAAACACTTGGGTAAGAAAGCCTCATAGAGACGCTTGGCTTTGGCATTTCCCATCTCCTGAACACACTGGTGACACCAAAACACAACACACATCGTTGCATTTTGAAGCAGTCTAATGAAGGAGAGACACAATATCCAGGGTACTGTGTTGTGTATGGTGATACATGCAGTTCTGCCAATAAAACAGTGTGAATTCTTTTTTTATGGATGTAGAGAAAAGAGAAAAATAAAGATGCTGACTTTAGGAAAGTGATCGCAGTGGGAAGCACAATGCTGACTGTCTTGTCTATCAGACCCAGACAAAACGAGCTGCATACTGATGAGAAAGTGTCTACTTCCTCTACTGCATGTGAACGCGCAAGTAAATGTTGACAAATTCTAAATTGGTGGTTTTTCCCCTGCTGTCAGAAATAGATATATTGATACAAGGTTTTATAATAATACTGTTGGTTGTATCGAAAAAAGTCTCTTTTTCATATAACTCTCAATATAATTTCACTGCATGAATCACGTACCAACACAATAACAAGAAGGTAGAGTGGAAGAAAACAATTTCAGAGTTTAGAGGAAAGGAGAAATAAATACTCATTACAACATTAGAGCTGACCTGGGTTCTCCAATATAATAACTATATCTGTATAGCAGCTTTTCAGTTATGGCACCTTACCTAATAACTACCACGAGCAAAGACTTGTTTTGATTGTACTTCTTCCAATACTATAAGGAACAGCACCCACACTGTAGTTAATCCAACGAACATAAACTGGAATAGTAAGTATATTACTGTGCTACTTAAATGATTGACAAGATTTGTGCTCCTTTTCTACGAGCTCACTAGCCTAAAACGATATTACTGTACCCGAGCGTTGGTGGGGACAGAACTATGCTTACTGTTTCCAGTCTTTATGCTAAGCTAAGATAAACTAAGCTGAGCTAATATCAGGTAACATATCTCTCAAACTATTCCATTCATACCTGCAAATACAAATTATTATTTTTTTTTTTACATTTTGACTGTCCAGATCTATTGTATGCGAACTAAATGAATGTTTTGTGAAAAAACGCTGAACTGTGTTTCACACATTAACACGTTGCAAACATCCCCATCTTGATTTTTTGATCTGGAGTGTGACCTCTGACCTGGACCTGCTCCTGCGTCCACTGGTCCAGATTGACAGACTTGACCTTGGAGATGTGGACCCCCAGGTTTCGATGGATACCAGCACAGCGGATACAGACGAAGATGCCCAAATTCCAGGATGCCCATCTTGGACCTGGCAGAGAGAGGAAGGTAGTGTTTAAAAATGAGAACAGAGGGTCCTTAAAAGGAAGGGGGGGGGATTAAGTAATTGGGCGAAAAAGAGACTAGAAGTATAATAGACAAGTAGAGTAAGCAGGCGAGCGGGTTGGGTGAAGAATGATGAGAAAACACTGATTAATTTTAGTCCAATTATAGAGAGACAAGCCTGAAATTAAATTAGGAGTTTGAGTTCAGCTGGGAACTCATCTAATCCAGTGTAAGTCATGCGGTGTCCTGCCACATGATGGGATCCAATAGGAGAGTTAGCCTACATAACTGAGACTGAGAGGAGAGAGGGGGAGTGGAAACACAAACACACACACACACACACACACACTCTGGATACCTGCAGGGATGATTACTCATGTGGTCATGAGCCTGTGTGTGTGTGTGTGGGTGCGTGGTTCTCTGAGTGGGCCATTTTGTCCATCTTGCTGCCATATCTGTCTTAATGGTTACATTTGAGTGCTGGGCGCCCCGTATTCTCCCCCGTGCTTTGTAGGTTTAAGCCTTATATCATGTGGTGTGCCTCGCTGTCTAGGACCCTTGCCTGGACAGACAACTAAGAGAAGTGGGGAAATAGAAACAACACCGTCAGGCTATTTTTCTGCTGAAAATTATGCAACCACCCTCTTCAGAGAATACAGGCAGCTTCAAAGAGAATACTGGCGCTTCTCTCCCCATCTCTCCTAACATCTCCCTCTCTTCTTGCCCCTCCTCCTCCTCCTCTCTTTCCGCCTTCTCCTCCGGCCACCCTCTGCGCTCATCTCCGCTATAAGTCTTGGCTTTACAAGTTGATGCGCTGCAGCCTTTACACCACTAGATGGAAGAGCAGCCTCTCCTGTCTGGCAAAGCCACTGTATTGTTGAAGAAAGGCCATTCTGTGCAAATAAAAGAGGAAGTTGAGTTTCAGAAGAGAAAACATAGAAGATCTTCCTTTTTACAGCAGCTGTGGAAACACTGTCTGGGTGCTGAGTCAGCCTCCTGTCTTGGTTGAATGCTAAAAAGTTTGTTATTCCTGCATCATTAGAATGAAATCATCCGACTGACTGTATTTTTGGGTTGCAAAGTTTGCGTGCTGCATATTGAAATTAGGAAACAGAAAGACATCAATGGGGAATGAATGACAGAGAGCAAACAACAGTAGAGGATTCACACCAGACAGACAGTGTGTCCATCACCCTGACCGTCTGGCTGCAGCGTTAGCTGTGATGCCGGCTAATAATAGTAGAATTACTCCGCAAAGCCGGCTTAGCCGCTGTAAACATTGGCACTGACGGAGAGAAAGAGAGAGACATTGTCAATTGTGAACTCCCTAAACGCTGGAATTAGTTTGTCCTTCTCCTCCTTATTCTAAAGCTCCTCTGTGTCCTGGCCGCCATTTCTTATCTCTCTCATTCACCACCACCGCCTCCCTCTTCCTCTCCTCTGCCCGTCCATATCTCCCCCTCACAGTTCTAATTCTCCCTCTCTGTATCGGTATCCACCCTCACTTTCTGAGGTTTTGCCACCACCGTTGATATTTTTTTTTTGCATACTGTGCTGACTTTTTATCTCTTTTCAGCCAGGCTAGTGGCGTGGCTCTAGGGGTGACTGCTTTGACCCAGACTGAAATATTGCAGCTGATATCGGATTTGATACAGACATCCATGGAGCCCAGAGGATGAATCCTATTGACTCTGATGATCCTGGCCTTTCCCTCTATAGCGCCAGCATGAGTTTGATATTTCGGGTTTTTAGTGAAATAGCTAAACAACTATATGATGGACTTCCATAAAATGTGGTAAAGCTATTCTACATAGACAATGTATCCTATTGACTTTCGAGATCCCTCTGCTTTTTTCTCTAACTCCGCCAAGAGGTTGACCTTTTGTAGATTTATCTGAAATGTCTCATAAACTATTGGATGGATTGCAATGAAATTATACACTGCCGCTTTTTTTTCTTTCCAAAACTTGTGCGTTCATGCGTCCAGTGGTCTAAGCACGGGTGTAAGTCTACAACAGGGTGTTATTTAAAGTGAATCACACCTGCACACTGCACCACAGTAGCTTTTTTGGTTCTAATCAATGCAGTGCTTGAGTAAGAACCCATATACAGCACGTCTGTCCAGCAACAATGCACACCTCCAGGTACTTTGAACAGATATAGTAGAGAGAGAGTAGGAGGAATAGACTTCTAAAAAAGGAAGGAAAGATTGAACAAGCAACCTCTACAAATCAGACTCTCTGTGTAGCAGAGTTTGCATTGCAGCATTGATTTCTCCAAAGTTGAGTCAGAGCGATGAGTAAACTTCCTCATTTCTTTTTTGCAATCAAAGAAAAAATACCAACACCTTCCTTTGAGGTGCAACGAAGGTTTGACTAATAAATCTGTTTTTACAGGTTAAACTACCCAAAAGTAGAGGGTTTACATGGGAGATGGATGAATCATCCTGGCAAAAAAATGAGTGTGGTTGTGGTTGTCAAAATGCAGCTTGAAGCACATCAGGGGAGGAGAAGGCAAAGAGACAAAAACAGAGACAAACAAGAGGGGATTTTTATAATCATCAAATGGTGGACTTTAGCAGTATGATGGCCTGCTGATATTTACAGTACAGGGGGTATGACGAGCAGCGAGCAAGTGCCAACAGAGATCTATAATGAACCTCTCTGTCACTCACCCACACACCCATTTGTTGGGTTTACAACACTTGTAAGGACCTTTACTGGCTACTTTCATTTGATCAACTTTGATCCGAATGTCCTGGTTCTGTCTGAGTGACACCTTGAGGTGGTCTGCTATTAACCTGTTGTGAAATGATTTTGTAACTATGCACATATGTAATTACATTTTGTATTGATATTGCATTTTTGAATGCATGCTACAGTATACTTTTTCAGTCAGATTTGAAATGCAATTTATTCACCTTCAAGGTTGCCATTGATTACCATTCATTTCCGTACAGTTTGGAATTTGCAAAATCTTGGCTATATAGATAAAGTTAATGTCAAGTCTACATACAACACATCTTAGTCAATGGTAATGGTAAAACTGGAAATTGGAACAGTGAACTTCAACACCTCATCATGATAATAGAGGAAGAATTATACATGCAGCTAATAGATTTCCACACAGCATCATTCAGAAATAAATTCAAATCAATGCCTGGAAAGTAACCCTAAACTGCGAAGAATTTATTTTGTTTGTGAAACGTATAAGGATATATGGTATATCATCTTAAATATGGAACAATACAATCCATTGTGATACATTAGCAATCACACACACACACACACACACCCACACTGAACAGAATTGCCTTAAATGTCAGATTTCCTGCCTAATGTTTGTTTAACAGTAATATGGGTTGAAACGAGCACAAAGCATTCAAGACTGGGGAGGGTGAACAACAGAGCTAATCTAATTGATAAAGGAAGTGAAAGGCTGTTGACCAATTATCTTGCTACTTAATCTGCACATGCCTTTAAAGGTCTGGGGAAACAAGCAATTCCAACAGGTCCAACAGGTCAGCTCAGTGTGGTACATAATATATATACCAGAAGAGCCCCTCAGTACCTCAAACACCACCACAGGTTTGGTTTCTGTGGTGCCAGCAATTGGATATTGTGTTTGTTTGATAGTATTATTTTACCTATAGTCACCTGGACTCCAACATCATTGCTATCCAGGACCAGAATAGATAGAAGTCTTTGACTTCATTGTGTCACACACACACGCATGCACGCACGCGCACACACACACACACACACACACACACAAGTAGGTGCATATGGCTCATTAGCCTATATCCCACAAGGATAAGCGTTGCTTTCTGTATGCACCCAGTTAATCCCACAGAGCCTCAGCCCTCCTACAGCACCACACAAATGCTCATTTATACACACACTTGTCCCATCCATCCAGAATCTAAACCAATCCAGAAACCCTGAGGCCTCCCGGTGACCCAGTCCCAGTCTGAGCTAAGCAGATGGACCCATATTGATAATTTACTAACACACGCCCACCATCTGAGTTGCAATGCAAGTGTCACAACTGCGATCCTGCAGGTGAGTCATTGAGGTTTAGATGGGTTGTACGTTTAAAGACGAGTAAGACACTCCATCACTGCAAGCTTTAGGTTCTTCTCAAAGCACGTTTTTGAAAGCATTCATTTCATCCTATTACTGATATTATTGTTTGTGCTCTCTGTAGTTAACAGGACTATTGTTTGTGTAATGTTAGACAACTATCATTCACTGGAATCTATAAACATAAGTGATAAATCAATACTATCCCCAGCTGCAACACAAACAGTACTGTATATACATCCTTGGACTCTATTTGTCACTTGAAAGCCACTGCTAGTGACACAAAAGGGGAAACAGTACAATAACCCTGTAACTGCTATACATCTGTGAATGTGATTTGTTGTCGTGTTTGTCACATTTCATTACAAGCTGTCCCTCGTATTTTGTATATTTCCTGTACAGTAATGAAACAATGTCCAGGTAACCTGCGCATAGCAGCTTGATGTTTGATCTTATCTCGCTTTTTGTGTGTTTTTCCATTATATACAGTTGTACAAGTCTGATTACCAACCAGCCGCAGACTGCCAGGCCCCTCAAAAGGTTCACTTTGTGGCAATTGCTGTGGGGTAATTTGATTGATTTGTAACTTAGTTTGAGAATATGGGAATATACAGTACACCACTAAAGCACAACATCAAATGGCATGATGAGGACCTTAAGGGTGTCCTACTTTATTACCTCATAGAGGGACTATCTGTCAAAATCTATAGCTTTGTGACCGTCGGCTGATGCTGTGCTTACATGTTGAATTATCAAAATACCACAGTACTGTAGACTCTCTTACCACTGTGCCATCTTCTCTTTTGTACTGTGAGACTCTGAACTCTGTGCCAGCCAGGGGACGCAAACAGCCAATCACCTCCTTGTTTCAAAGGAAATCCCTGCTGGCGTCTGATTGGATGAGATTAGAGGGTGTAAGGGGATGGGGGCTAGGTGGTGGTGGAGGGAAAAGGTACGGCGTCACCAGGTGATATCTCCACGGCAACCGGTGTGTACGTAAACACAAGTACAATGGAGACAATAAAGAAGGGAGGCTTTCATGCAAACACACACACACACACACACACACACACACGCATGTACGCAGCCCCTTGAGATTGAAGCCAGAGGTAGACGTGTTGACTACGTTATGCATCTGCTTCACCCTCTCTCGCTCATCTCTTCATTACTTCCTGGCAGTATTGAGGATTTACAGTAAAAGTGTCACATAGTGAGGAAGTCATTAAAAAAATAAATGCAGTAAGTCACGTGGTACAGAGGAAAGGAGAGACAGGAAGTTGGACAGCACAGGCATTAAACTGCAGTCAAAAAGGCAGAGAGATTATTTAATTGCTGCAGCGTCTGTACAGTAAGCATACTGTAGATGGGGATGACCTAATAGCATCATTAATGTGTTTTTGTGTTTTCATGTGCTGCTGAAAGCACGCACTTGGCTCCACACGTCTCACCACTTCCTCTTCAATCACCCAGAAGGGGGAGGGAGGGGGAGAGGAGAAGGTGATAAACGCACAGTAATCTATGTCAAGGCAAACAAGATTAGACCAAACCTCATCACAAGCCACATGGTCAAGAAGCCTGATTTGAGACGAGGAAGGGGAGGGGCCATATGCTTTCAAAGTGTGAGAGCGTGAGCTTGTCATCCAATGCACCGAAGAGCAACGCTTTGACGGTAGATTCAGGAAACAGGTGATAATCAGGTAGGAGGTAAAATGCCTCTCACTGAGGTTACAAGTGTCATCTTTTGGGCAGTTTCATGAAGAAAAAAAAAGGTGGGAAATGAGAGTGATGTGTGACCTTTCAATCAGTGTGGAGCCATATGTTATTACATGGGTAAATGCAAACTTGACGGAAATCACACCTTAGATTTCAGCAAAAGACCACTGAATGATCAAAATAAAATGTTTTCTTACGATTAAAGCTAGAGCTTCAGCACCCTTGGTGTTGGTATATGTGTGGGGTTGCTATTTCCTCCCTTAACCCTTAATCTCATCTGCAGTAGTTAGACCAGTTTGTTGCACAGGGAAGTCATGCCAATCTGAAAAAAAAGACAAACAATGCGCAGGCATGCCTCATGACCGCATGTTTGAGTATGTGAGAGAAAGAGAAAAGAGCGGTTGGGAAGCACGATGTGGCAGATAGCAAATCAAATACAACAACAATCAAACCGAAATGATCTAAATCCGTCTCAAATGTTGCTTTATCATTTATTATCTGCATATTCTGTCGACAGTCCAGTCTTCAGATAAGCTCCAAGAGTCTGATCACAGCGTGTTTTTTAAAAGGGACTTCTGAACAGTCACAAGTGCGTTTGCCTTTAGTCTAACAATGTCTGCAGTCCTATTTATATCTTATTTAAAAACAACTTTCAAAGGCCAAATGATCTGGAAACAAAATCTTGTTTTGTAAAACGAAGCATTCACAATGTCCTGGTAAAATCTCCGATTTTAATTTAGACCTTGACATCACATGTCATCTCAACAAAGCACTGCACAAATCTAGCCATTGTCTATGTACTGTGAATGTACTGTGTGTGCCCAAGGCAAGGGGGAGAATGGGGAAGTTTGATTTAGTGTTTTAACAGTAACATTAAGCAAGAAAACTAAAAACTAAAACAGAGCATATGAAGAATCTATCTGTCTCTACAAATTGTGATTTCTTACTCAGATTACCGACAGGGTTTGAAATTAACAGAATACTTTTTAGCTAAAACTTTAAAAGTCTCTCCACGTCTGTATTGACAGATCGTTTTTACCTTCATTTGGCAGCTTCCTGGAAGTGATACAGAGCTGCAGACCCATTCTTGTGAATGAGCAGAGAGACAGAGGCAGACAGAGACTAAGAAATCTAAAGAGAGACACCGAACAAACAACCGGATTGGGATTTTGGCCCAAATAAACAACGAGCATAAACTGAGTAGGAGCTTTGAGTCTATCTGTACACTTGTTCTGACCAAACATTATAAATGTTTTCCCCCTGTCATGAGGCAGCCTGGCACTCACATCCAGAGAGAAGCTTCCAACACGTATTGATTTTGACTCTGAGTGTGCTTTGTACACATCACATCTCTCTGCTGTTGTTTGTCCGTCCATTTGTCTGAATAAAGAAGCGAACACAGATCTGAGCCTGAATGCAGCACTACAGAATACAGCCTAATCCCTGTTAAATATAGAGAGATGCTTATTTGTGTGATTCATAAAGTTTTCATGAGGAATCCCAAGGGTGTCCCCTGCCTGACAGCCCGCAGTGATACACTCAGGGCCTTCACTTGACAATTTATGACTGAGGTGGAAGCAGTGGAAGCCATTGTGGAATTGATATGCAGCTTCCCTGATGAATCACTTCTCGGACATGCTACGGAGAGGCTTATCTTATCAATCTCCACAACAGCAGCGGCACTGATTTATATCAGACAGTTTGAAATCTAGGACATATAGGTATCAAGCAGGCTAATACTACGTATCAGCACCAGAGAGTATATTTAAAGTTTCAATGTCTGTCAATGGAAAAACAGGAGAGTTGCTCACTTTCACTCGAGGTTTGTCTCTGGGGCACAATGCTGGTTGTGTATTTTGTATTAGTGGCACTTGCATCTTACATTCACAGATATTATCTACTCAATGACAGTTTATCCTAAAACGAGTAGATGTTGGACTTCTTTTTTGCTTTGTTGATTCAGTCTCCAACTCTGTGTATTTGTGAGCAAAACAGCAATGTTTACCAAGAGGTTCAGCAAACAGCTGATGACATAGTTCAAGGCCTCATTGAGGCTACAAACAGAGTGCACATGCACAAACACATACAATGGAGTGTATTTGTACGTACTGTATATAAAATAATTATGTAATACATTTTAGAACGTTTGAGTCACTACAACCATATCAAGTCCTTCATTAACTTTAACTATGAGACTAGTAAGTACTGTGGATGGCAGTCTTACAATTATGATGTGTGAATACTGTTGTGCCCTTTTGTAAAGGCTTCCTATGCCCCATCTGCACTACTCAGACTGCAGGACTACTGACATTGAGTCACCCTGAACAGTCTGTTCAGGGTGACTCAAAGTCAGTACTGATATGTCAATCTCCATGTCTCGCTAGTCTCTGTGGTTTCAATACTGGGGTTCAAGGAGCCTCAGGTGTTTTGCGTCTCAACAGCTGGAATACTTCTTATTTATTATCTTATTTACTCATTGATCATGTAATAAACTTGTCCAACATGACAAACAAAATAAAAACCTCTTTGATGAAAGGTAATAAACTATGTATCTATTGTTGTTATAATTAGCCTATCCTATTACTTCGAGGGAGCTGGCATGATGTAGCAGCGTGCCACACGCTCCAGCCGACTGAGGACCCGTGTCTTGCACCATAGTACAACGTAATTGGTGGAGGAATCATGAATGCAGCGCCGCATTTCCTAGCGTAGTAAATGAGCAAGAGGGCCGATTCATCCGCCGGCCATATGCAGGCATGGACCGGATCAGCCAGTGAAGATAGACATTGATAATGACTTACCTTTGGATTCGCAATCAGCGCAGAATTTATTCTCTTCCAGCGCCAGTAAAGAGTTGAGGACAGCCTGGTATCTGTCCACGTCTTTCACAGATTTGCCCGTCATCATTGCACTAGTCCACCTCCTGTCGGCTACAGCCCCTGCTGTTCGTATACCGGCTTTTGTCAATTAGCTTCTTATTTGACACAATAAAAAGCAGTGTGTGTGTGTGAGTGTGTGCAGAGCCGATGCGCCCCGGTCCCTCCTCTTCGCTTTCGCAGAGCGAGTTTGTTTCAAGAAGAAGATGTGGGATGATTGTCTCTCAGCATGCGGGTTATGCTAAATACTGATAACCAATCAAGACGTAACGTGGAGGAAAACACCCTGAATGTTAAGCTTAATAATATAGGCTAATGTAAGGTCGACTTTAAGGCGCATCTGTAACCTATCTATGATTGGTACCGACTCCTCCACCTCTCTCTCTCTCTCTCTCTCTCTCTCTCTCTCTCTCTTACACACACACACACACGCGCGCACGCATGCACACACACACTATGATACATTTTTATGAAAATAAAGCTACAGTGTGAATAGTCATGTATTTTTCAGTTTCTGTAATACAATGCAATATTTTAAAGATAAATAAAGCAAATTACAGTGTCGTTCGGGTTATTTTATTGTCCAAATATCACGTATACTGCCATCCTGTGGTCAATCATGAGACGCTTTTGAGAAGTAGGTCTCCCTGTGGGCCTCTGTTCCCCTCCAGGACGCAAGGTGGCGATAACACACAACCTGCCAAGAGGAAAATAACCGAGGAACTGTTGATGAAACAGCTGACCGACGCCAAACTAGTCAAGTTAACAAATAAATACCGGATGTAAGACGTTTTTGTCTTCAAAATAAAGTTTGTAATGTGTTTATCCTGTAGCAAGGGAACTCTATATGCAATGATATGACAACAACAACAGTTTTCTTTCATTAACTGAATTTAGTTTTTTTCTCAAATAAGTTGTCTCCTATCATATGCTATCATATCATATGCATATCATGTGCTTTGTATATCTATTTCCATGAATTAAACGTTTACAGTATGACCGGAAGTATATGTTTTAATCTAGCGAGCTTGACTTTAGTGGAAGTGTGTGACTATCCTGGTGATTGCGGAAATAACTACTAAGCCAGAATCAAATAAATAAAGGATTAATATCGAGTCGTAAGCTTGTAATACTGTCCACAATGTCCAGGCAATCCAACCGAACAACAGACAGCAAGAAGATGGTAGGCGACTTCCGCAGGATTAAAAGCAAACAAACCTAGCTAGCCTAACTAGCAAAAATGCTAACCGTAGCCTACTAGTTAACCTAACAATTTGCTACGCTACACCTCTGCGAGCTAAATTAATATTCTTCAGTCATGTGTCTTTGTTTGACAGGTGTGGCTACACACACGAATATAATATATACATTTTAATCAGTTGACTAGCTAAGTATTTCATTCATAGTTGGGTAAAACTGGCTGTGACAGAATGTGTAACGTTAGTTCGATGTAGCACACATGCTAAATAGTTAGCCAACGTAGCTGACCCATGGTCCCCTCCTAGCCCGTTCACTTTTTAAGTTACAGTTGCAGTGAATACTAAAAATAACTAAGCATTATGTCAACTAATTATACATTGTTTTTAAAGTATATTTATTGTTTATTATAACCATATATATGTTTTTTTATTATTATGTTAATTACTGTTAGACTTCATTTCAGCACCATGAGCTGTCCATAGGCTGTTATACTTCATTGTGCAGAAACCTGTATCTCTTCCGCATTGACCAAATTACATCTTAGCCAAAATTCAGGGTGTTTTATAGATTTAAGAGAGCCAATACTAATTGCCTACACTACTTTAAACAGTGTGGACCAAGTACTAAAAGTGGCTACTTGCCACTAAATATATATTTTGTATAATTGTACCTGGATTCCTCCTGACCGGTTCAGCATATTGATGTTATGATATTTCTTCGTTTTTTTTTTTCGTTTCATTTCATTTTTGAGCCCGATTCATTTTCAGCACAACTAACATGAGAATTGTGTTTCCTCTGTTGTAGAACTCTGAACTGTTCACACTGACTTACGGGGCCCTGGTCACCCAGCTCTGTAAAGACTACGAGAATGACGAGGAAGTTAATAAACAACTGGACAAGATGTAAGTGTGACTCGACTGTCACTAACTGTGTTCACACCCGATATCAACTGCATATGAAAAGGTCACAGTGTTGACGTTATGTCAAAGACGTCTATATATTGTGTTGTAGAGACTAAAATGAGCATTCTGACCGGCCTGCACCGGGCCGTCCCGTGTTCTAATACCACTAGTTTCTAGAGCGGTGATAGTGAGTCACTGCAGCATCCAGTCTGCCCTCAGTCCAGAGGACGAAGAAGTGCAGTGCCTTGCAAAAGTACTCATTCCCTATTTTGTTGCTTTACAACCTGGATTTTTTTCAAAAGCGGTGTGTGCATATGTTCAACCCCATTCCTAAGCCCTTTACTAAGATCTGGTGCTACCAATTACCTTCAGAAGTCGCATAATTACCTAAATTAATTCCACCTGTGTGCAAAATAAGTGTCACATGATCTGTCAAATGATATCAGTCGATACAAGCCAACAAAATAGCAAAAACTCCAAGGGTGGTGAACACTTTTGCGAGGCACTGTAGCGCTGCCCCGAGGGCTTGTCAATAATCCATTCATGTACGTTTTGATAGTTTGTTAATTGAATTAAGTCCAAAGTAGGAGAAAGGAGAAAACAACTCGTGCCCTCCCCTCATCCTCCCAGACGCATGCGGCAGCTCAGTGAGAGGGAAGGACCTTACAATAGCAGTTAGCAATTAGCAGTTTCCTTGAATTCAGTCAGCGGAGCCAACCTCAGGTCCGGGGTCAGATTCTGGAGGACTGCCCCGACTCCCCACAGGACCTGCAAACTTTCTGACTGTGATACACAGGTTAGACGAAGCGAAAATAATAGTGGTTTCATCATCTCTGCCACGCCGGACCCAAGCCGATACACAAGCTATCAAAACGTCCACAGACCGTATAGCCCCCTGGTCAGTGACACAGTAATAAAGTCCTATTTCTTTGGAGCATGTGGCCAGACATTACACAGTGCACCTTCAATAGCGTAAAGTACTGAACATATTGGACATTGGCGTTTAACTAATAGAAGTTGTAACTGCATTAGCTAGATTGTATGCTCTGTGCATATTGAGTACATCAAAGGAGCTGCTTTGCTAAAACATGTTAAAGTTCATCGTTTGCTTGACTTAAGAGAACACATTTTTCTGGCCTCTTGGATGTCTCCCTTTTAAAGAAGAGAACACTGATATGTGTTTTCATGAAAGAGAGGGAAAGTCTCTGGAAGGCAATGCTGGATTCTGCTCTCCCACTAAATAAGATTAAGAAAAAATAAATGGGTTTATAACTCAAAAATTCAAAACGTCCTGTCCCGCCGACAGGACGTTAGACTGGATTTTCCCCGCTTGCCTGGTTGTGAAGCAACCTTAAGCTCTCTGAGCTAAGTCATGATGAGGCTCGTCTTACCTGGCCTTACAAGGCAGTCTTAGTCTGAGGCAGACCATGTTAGGATCATTAGGAATCAGTCGGCTCTAGATTCTGTAGGATAAGTTGACATGGCATTTTAATCAGGATTGTCATCATTTGCTAAGTGTATGACAAAATAATGACTCTTTACGGTGCACTGCACTTTTCCCCTGATGATGAAGAAGAATGACTTAATCTGTCTGTCTCCTGCTCCTCTCTCTGTCTTCTCTCTCTGTCTTAGGGGTTATAACATCGGCGTGCGCCTGATCGAGGACTTCCTGGCACGCTCCAGCATCGGCAGGTGTCAGGATTTCCGAGAAACAGCCGATGTCATTGCTAAGGTAATTGGACTTTTCGTGACCTCCCAAAGATGGAGGGAGGCAGAAGGGGAAGGAGGGATGACAGAAAGAGAGAGATTAGAGAGGAGTGATGTTAATGAAGCCTCTTAACAATTAATGGGGGAAAGAAGAATGCTGGAAGGGTTTGGGGGAAAATGTATGATTGTGACTGGGTAGATCACAAAAACTTCAAGTCCCAGTCTGCATCCTTGAGATCAAGATTGCGTTCCTCTTTGCTTTGCTAGATCGTAACCTTGATGGCTCAAGGCGGTTTAGAGGGTGCATTGATGACCTAATCTGAGGATATCACGTGATCTCTATCTTAACTATGAAACCACCTCAGTCATTCATCACCGAAATGTATTTGGAGGTCTGTTGTTTGTCCAAAAACTGATTTTCGAGACCGTGAATGTTTTCTTCAGAAGGCAAGACATAATCGCACCACTTAAGTTATGGTGCTATTAACAAATATTATTCTTAGAAATACTTATAATGGCAAGGCTGCTGCGCTCCAGTGTCAGACCATTTTACAGACCGCTCCAACCCTATTGAATATTTTTATTGGTATAACTGCAATTTCATGAGCTTGAGCGAACGCTTATTTGTGCATGCGTGAGAATGCCGACACGTCAAGGGGACAAAGTGCGGCAGAAGGAAAGAAGCAACAGACAGATATCGTGTGTGTGTGTATGTGTGTGTGTGTATGTGTGTGTGTGTGTGTGTGTGTGTGTGTGTGTGTGTGTGTGTGTGTGAGAATTCCAGCTAAATGAATATGTAGTCAAACATGACTGTTTTCAATCGAGTAATCCTGCATTGTTTCCTTTTTTTTCATCCACTCTACTCACCGTGTTGTTGTTAGGTTGCATTTAAGATGTACCTGGGATGTACCCCCAGTGTGACCAACTGGAGCCCAGCAGGAGATGAATTCTCCCTCATCCTTGAGAACAACCCACTGGTAGACTTTGTGGAGCTGCCGGATAACCACAGCACGCTGGTCTACTCCAACCTGCTGTGTGGGGTCCTCAGAGGAGCCCTGGAGATGGTAAAGTCCACTCACTATACATTTTACCCTTCATGGTGATCGTAGAATAGAGCAGTCCATATTATTTACTGTGCAGAGGACCAAAATGTAAGTGATCATGTTTGTGATTTAGGTCCAGATGGCCGTGGACGTGAGATTTGCTCAGGACACTCTGAGAGGGGACAATGTGACAGAAATCCGCATGAGGTTTATCAAGAGGATTGAAGAAAATCTCCCCGCAGGAGACGAGTGATGGAAACGGAAAGATCCTTCCCGCAACTTTCTTGTCTGATTTAGGGAGGACCGAGTCACGTGAGGAACACCGTCAGAGGATGAATGAACTCAGAATCAAAACATCAAAATGAGAACTCCATGGCACTGCTCTGTGCTCCAGTTTTGAGGGAAACGTTTAGGTGTGTTCCTAGATGAGATGTTCCTGCTGTGGAGAAGAGAATGCCTCTGACCATTTATCTCAAACCATCCCTCATTGAAAGTCACTTTTTTCTTCATTTACTGTTCAAATATCTGTCCTGTTTCTTAAAAGAATTATGTCTTTTGTTTTTGGTGCAAGGCTGGGAAGCCTTTACGTCGTAATGTTTTTACGTATGTCTCGTTTGTTTTCCTTTTTTTAAAGAAGTCACACTTTATTTCTGCCATTTAAATGGCATGCAAATTTATGTAGGTAGATATGTTAAATAAAAGCAACATATTTAATATGATACTTTTCTTGTGCGTCTGTAATTCTGTAATAATCGAGGCACACACACACACGGTGTCCTCTGTACGACCTTGTCAGTTCTGCTTCAGTGTACTCTGCTGGCGTTATTCCTTTGGAGTGCTGCAGCCGCTCTGCGAAGGCAAACAATAACAGACCTATTGCTTCTCTTATGTTTGTTCAGTGGACATGGAAGTAATCTGTGTGTTTGTGTGTGTTGGTTCTGGTTGTCACACCTTGTGAATGGCTTTACATCACTCTGAAGTAACGAACAGAACTGCTCGTTCAGACCGACTGCACACCTCGTCAACAACTGAAAACACAGGCGGCCATTCACACACACACACACACACAGTTTACACACACAAATCATTCCTAGTCTGGTTTTAGAAGCAAATATCTGGTCCGGATACTGCTAAACATTAGCCATGTTTTTCTTATTCTTTGTCTTTTGTCTTTTTTTTGGTACAGAACTCACAAGTCTGCTGAAAGCAGTGCACGGAGAGGATGAGATTGTCAGATATGGATTTGGAGAAATCTGTCAGCTATTAGCTGCTGCAAACCTTCGGGCTCTACACGTCCCATTTTACAGCTGTTATTACACAAACCCATTTCTGCTTTTACAGTTTTAGTCTTCAGGCACTTGAAGTAAAAGTTCTCCAAAGAGCCACCAGAGGTTGCTGTGTACATAACGTTCCTCAGCCTTTGGCAGCATCGTTCCCAGTAAAAGGCTGGAGTGGGTATTGTGGGAGAAAAAAATCGTTCCCTGTTTTGTGGGAGTAAAGGCTAGAGCTGCCAGAAAAAAGGTTCATTTCAGATTATGAATGTGGAAAGAGCAGATAATTCACAGTCGTTAAGCAGAGTGCCCGGTGCCAATATATGGAGTCTAGCTTTGATTTGGCCGGAGATTAGACAAACAATGACAACATGCCGTCTTTGTGCTTTATAATGCCGGGGAAGATGTATTAGGATGGGATTTCAGAGCATTATTTACTGTCTTAAGCCTCTGCCTACTCCTGTCTGGGGTAGTGCTCATTTAAAAGGATGAATAATGGAAAGTGGAAGCGCCCCGACTGCAGTCGGCTTGCAATAAGCCTGATGGGCCATTAGACGAGCTCTCAACACATTATATGTGCACATATCTATGCACCCTGTAGGCCTGTGAGGTGGATGTTGGATGGAAAGCGGGCAGGAAATAGTTTTTGTGCAGAAGCTCAGTGTAAATGACTTGGCAGAATTAAAACCGTGTACCTGGGGGATGGACGGACAGCTGGGTTTTCTGTGCACTTGTGAAAGCCTGTATCACTCTGCCATATGCTCGCAGGTATTTGACTTTATAAACACACACGTATATATGCACGCGTGCTGTGCATGGAGGCCAAAGTTTGGGATGAATTTATCACAACCACTGCACTCACAAATACACCCTTGAAGGACCATGTCCAAACACGCAATACGGACATTTTTTGGGGGTCTCCAAAGCATTTAAAGGCCTACCAATGTTGATTGTTTTCACAGGAAGTGGGTGACGATTAAACAAGAAAGTTTAAAGACCACAAACTAGCGCTCCGTTATGACTTCACTCCTCATAACCTGTCCATCTGTGATTGCTATTCCCTTTGCATGACCGCAGAATGAAAACACAAGGAGGAGAAAAAGTTGTTGTTGATGCACTTAAGACTCCCTCTTAGTCATGAGGAATTGCTTCGAAGATGCTATTTTTATCTATTGTCGTCTCCCCCTCCCTTCTCTCCATCATAGATGTGAAACACACACACACACACACACACACGTGCACTCTGGGAAGAAGGACATCTCCCATCACGCATGTCTCGGACAGTTTAGTTTGGTGTCTCCCATCGGCACACATGTCGTTTTTATATTTTATCATCATTCATATTTTCTATTGCAGCTGCCTATATTTTTTCAGAAAACGTTACCAGGACAGACCTGAAAAACAAGTAGCAAAATGTTACGGGCCCAAGACAACGTGCTCCGATCTGCTTTAAGCCAGCTAAACGTTTCCATGTGGCCTTTATGGGAAACAAATGTTGAAAGGCACGCTCTGACAGTAAAGCCCAGCGCACAGCCTGTTATTGACCTGCGCTTATTGAATACCGCATCCTTCTCTTCAACCTCGAATCCATCCATTTCCATCCACCGTTTCTCTTAGTTTTCCCACTTTATTTTGTCAGTCATTGTTTCAATCATTCCCCCCTTTTTTTCTATTTTCTTAATGTTTTACTGATGTGCTCAAGGGAAAGCCAGCAGTTCCTAAATCAAAGAAAGGATGTGTGATAGTCAACCTTTTGGGAATGTTCTGTGTCTGATGGGAAACATGCTTGTCTCTCAGGTGAGGTATAAGGGCTGACTGGAGATGCAGTCGACCGGGATTTCCAGAGGTTTCCGGAGTGTGTGTTTTGTGTCTGGTCAGTGGAAATGAGCGGAGATGACAGCAGGATGGACAGCACTCTTTAAGAAGAGAATGCATGGAGTCAGCAAACAAGTGTGTCCGTGGTTAAAAAAAATACAAAATCCCTGACAGACTGAATAATGTTCCCAGGCAGTGAAGCGGTGGGAAGAGGTGGTTGATTTAATGAGTCTCTCTCTGCATGCGCACCTGAAAAGATGCTCACATGGACACGAGAGTTGTTGCTGCATAAATTCACAGGCTCTGCACTTGTCTGCTAAAACACATTCAGAGATTTTAACAGTTTGAGGGATGTTTGTTTGGGACTTATGTGCATAAACACCTCAGTACATAAGCGTGCATGTGGTTTTTGAGGGGTAATTACGAGTTGATTTAGTCACAATATGTACCCACTGAAATCTGCTCCAGCATCTGCAAGCCATTCGGAATATGAATCATCACCCACTTCCAGACAAACTGTTGAGCACTTCCTTTAAATCTAGTAACTCATGTATTGCTCAACCATTTAGCATGGACAGCACATCCACTAGAATGTGAGACATGTTCAGGCCTCCCTGAGTTATGTCTGGGTCGTCAGGAGCGTTGGCAGGAAGTCTGAAACGAGAAGCAAACCTGGTGAAACGCACCTCTCCAAGCTCAAAATAAAAGCATGGATCGGATCCAGCTAACCAGTTCGATAAAATCCTGGATCCCCAGTGTCACAAGGGATTCTTGTTAGCAAAGACAACATCTTCTCAGCAGGAAGACGTGTCAGGTTGAAATGGGTCCAAAGCGGGGTCATTTCTCTGTCTCAGTAGTGACCTGGCTGGTTCCACCAGGGTTTCAGCCGGAGCTCTCGACGACGCCGAGCCACTTAATGCCTTGTTTTGAGTTTTCCCTCGTTCCCTTTCTTCCAGGCTTTTTGGATGGGAGCTGCTAAGCTGCCTTCACTCTGCTTCCAATTTCCTCCTGCTCTTTTGTTCTTCCTCCTTTCTCCAAGATGTGACGAAGATGAGTTTTTAGAAAAGTTCCTGATGATACAGGCTTTACCCTTTCCAGATCCTCGTTATCTTTGAGCCTGATTTTCCCACAACACACTCAACTTTTGTCTTGTTTTTCCTCCGTCTTTTCTTCCTTTTTTCCTGACCCCGCAGACGTTGGAGCTGTAGTTTATGTAACGGCGGCAGCACTTTCCAGCTTGGAACAGCCTCACTTGAAGATGGAGCAAGGAGAATGAGTGGAAGAGAAAGAAGAAAAAAAACAAGTGTCATGTAATATTACTCTGGCTAGCTCTGAGGACAACCGGCACCTCACCTTGGACTTCATTATTCCAGTGCCTTTTCCCCCAAATGCACATATGTAATCATATATTTATATCAGTCTCCCAGGCAGTAACAAATACGTTAATTCCAATTGAAAAGCAGGAATGTGAAAGTCCTGGTTTGCCCTGGACTAAAATCAAACCAGGCTTCCCTCCCATATCACAGGGCTGCCTAAAGGCTGCACACCAGCTGCACTGGACGGGATATCACCGCTCACCACTGCCAAGCATGAACCGACCGCCTGTGTGTGTGTGTGTCAACAGTCATATTTTGGAGTTACAGAACACACACCGTATATTGATTAGAGCGAAGTACTTCTGATGACGCATGTCTTCCAGGCAGGTCATCTGTCTAACTTTTAAAGCATGATATCTGAGCTAATATCACAACATCAATCCAGACACCAGCCCAGAGGCTTCATGTCTTCAGCAAGTCATTTATTATCCGCCCACTTCAAGCACCTTTCACACTAGATTGTAAGGGGTCTGGATCTCCTATTATGCAGACTAGACATTTCAGTCTGTGAGCATGACTCTCCATATAAAACACCTCAAGCTGTCACACTGGAAGAAACGGATGCAGGTTTATGGAAAATGCTCAATGTTGGCGATGCATGGTGGGGTCGTATTCGTTTTATTTCCATTCAGCTGTTGTTCGAATTTATGGAATTTTTGAAAGGTTTCCAAATACATTGATAATTATGTGTGTTTACATTAAAGAACATATTAACCCTTATCAATTAAACACATTTAATGGCAAAATAACAAAAAGGCTTTGAAGATGGCTAGTTGTTAATGACAAAAAGTTGGCAAATTAAAGAATAAAAAATGCACATGGGAATATTTCTGTGCACCAAATCATGAGGCTGTACAGTTATGAGTTTTCATACATGACCATTAACTCGTAATTTGTTTTAATTAATTTGAACGCAGCCGTTGTAGCCCATTCCAAAACTATATTGTAGAATTGAACTGTTGACCTGTTGCGCTTATGAATCGTGGATTATGAATTTGGACAAAGATAATGCTTAGCTGCTCAATAATGGAATTGAAACATTTAGCCAGTCCAGACATACCAGACCTCGAACCTTTTATTCACCAAATATTCTTTGCTAGTCATCGTGTAATTTACATTTTGATAAAACTTTTTGTAACACTTTTAAAAACTTTGTAACCTTGTAAAGAAAAGTGCTAAATACATTAAGTTTATACTCTTTAACCATTAACCAATGTTCACACTTGTTACTCTTGGTATTATTTTCATCAGGTATAGTC